GGAGGTGCCCGGCCTCACGCTGCACAGCGCGGCCCCTTACCCGTCAGCACGTTCTGCACGCGGTCGTAATGCGTGAAGTTGTACGTTCTGCTGGAGGCGGCGGCCTCGTCCCTGGGCAGCGTTTCCTTCAGGTGGACCTCCAGCCCATTCAGGGACGCCAGGCTGCTGTGGTACTGCAAAGGAGGCGACAGGCACGGCTGCAGGTCAACCTCGGCGGGCCCCGCGCCTAGCAAATGCGCATCCAAAAAACACCTGCGCGGCTACACGATTTAGCAGAAAGGACTCTGACCAATGTTTTTACCCACTTTCAGAAGAAATGATGCCGTGACACACATTCACTCAGAAGCACCGGTTTCACGGGGAGGGTGCATTCTCATATTTCAGGATGACACTCGTGCACTAACCTCAAGCCTCATCTCAACTCAGTGTCCCATCTCGGCCATGAAGAACTGATGTGGTCACTATATCTGAAGGTCGGTGAGAGTACCTTGGGCTTTGAGCAGGAAACTATCAGTGGCTCTATGCTGCCCCCTGGTGTGAGTCCAGTCTGTTCCCTCAGAGCCCATTCCATCTCTGGGGCTGCTCCCTGGCTCAGCCCCTTCCACTCACCTCCCGGCCACCCACCCTGGGCAAACATAAAGATATGGCAGGTGATCCACTGAAAGACAAGATGGCAAAGTGACACCAGGGTGCCTCGGCCGTCTGCGACCTAATCAAGGAGCCCTTTCAAGGGGAGGTGTGCTCATTGTCACATCTGAGCGGAGTTTCCCATTCTGCAGGGACTTGCTTTTCTAGACAATAGCAGACGAAATGTGGGGCAAAAAGGCAATAAACGATCTTTCCCCAAATTATAAAATAGACAGCCTTTGGGTCTGGTCATCCAACCCCACTCTCAGAGCAGCAAGCTGATCAAAGGTAGTTATGCCACCCTCCTTAGAAAAGGGGAGTCGTTCTCTGTGAAGCTGCGTCCTCCGTCCTGCCCCCTTTATGTGACAGCCCATGGTGACAGCTGTCCTAACAGGGATGGGCTGTGACAGACCAAGTGACAGGCGCACATATCCAGAGCCACAGAAAGCAGGGCATTTCCTCTTCTCTTCTCCTCCCCACAATCACGCCATCCTATCAGTAGGGGACAGAGCAGCTGGGGTAGGGGAAGTGAGATAAGCAAGAATTCTGGACCTACCACCTGCATCAGGTCTTTCAATGAGGCCGTTTTCTTGCTGCTAAAATGGGTGTTACAATGCCTCCCCCCAGAACTGCTCTACAGCTTGGCTAAAAGAACAGTTGTGAAGCAGTTGGCATATACTGAATGTACAGAATACATCTTAATTTACTTCCTTCTTTAACGGCAGCTTGAGCTACTCTTTCTTTTTCTTTTGGGGGGAAGGTAAAAGAGGGAGATCACATCTACGTCATTGCATCCAAACACCGGACCTTCAAAATAAATCTACAGCCGGAGGGGAAGCAGAGAAGACCATGGAAACCAAGGCCTCAGCAGGGAGATGAGATGTATAAACCTGCAGTCGTTGGGCCCTGTGCTGTTAAAGGAAGGAGGCGGAGACATCACTCAGGGCTATGGTGAAGGAGGGTATGGAAGCAAACAAGCCACCACTCGGTGATAGGTGACATGTGTCTGTGGAGAGGGGAGAGGCAAGCAGGGCAGATCCGGAGAGGAGCAGTCTCTTGCCTAGGGCTCTGAGTGAAGGGAGCTGCCATCCCTCTTCCTTTAAGCTCCAAGGTGACTTGCTCCTTTATGAGGATCACAAGTCCTGCATGCTAATGAGACTTGCTTAGAATAATATAGATTTAAGAACAAAAACAAGGCAAGCCCCAGGACACCATTCTCCCTGCCGCAGTTTCAACCTCCTGTTCCTACTGTTACCACTTCCCTGCCAACTACAGCAAGGCTGTTACTATAGCAACTGCATCTCCAGGGTAGGCTCCAGAGAAGGCACTGCTGGAAGTGGGACAGGGCTGGAATGGGTTAGTTAGGAGGAGCCTTCTGGAGCCAGTGAGGATTTCAGATGTGCCAGGCCCTCTAGGAAGGAGCCTCAGATCACTGTGGTACAGTGGAGGGGCTATGCAGGGAAGCAGGGGCTTCCAGAGAAGTCCCAACACCAGCTGTGACCATGCAGAGGACAGACCCCAAAGACTCTGATCCTAGAGCTGCCTAGGCTCAGAAGTGAGGCCCACAGTGGCAGCAATGGCACAACGACACCGCGTCTGCATGACTGCACTGTGTCTGGAAGGGCAGAACCTGTCAACATGCCCACACTGCTGACAAAGAACCGGAGGCTCAGGAGGGCAGAGGCCTGTGTGCCTGGTCACACAGCCAGAACCAAGAATCCAACTTGGTCTCCCTCGTCTTAGAAACTGGCAGAAGCAGGAACGTGCAAAACAAGCTGTGCACTGGACTTGCTCTCACTCACCCCACAAATGCAGGAAGGCAGGCATGCCACTGCCCCATCATATAAACGAGGACGTTTGCACAAGGCCACGGGGCAAGGTGGAGCACTTGTCCCCTCCTGCTCTGTGGCAGTGCAGTGCTAAAGCGGAGCACCCTCCCCACCTGCCCACGTTCCCAGGGGGCTGGGGTGGGTCTGAGCACACTCACCACCTCCTCGATGGCTGCGCTGTCTCCCAGCAGTGGCTCCTCGGCCAGCAGGGACAGCACCAGCCCTGTGACACTGTGAGTGTAGAGGTTCATGCGCACAAGTCCTCCCCGGGATGCTGGGGTCGCCCTGGAGTCAGTGCTGCCTACAGAGAGGCCATCGTCTGAAGAGTCTGCAGAGCCTGAGTGGCATTCCAGGCCAGGGGCTGAGCGGCTCTCATGAACCCCGTCCACACACCACTCTGTGCCTTCCTCCCCCACAGGAAGCTTCACTCCTCTCTGCCTAGAATCTAGGTGGGGTGATGACAGTGGCCAGCTCTTCCTTCTGGGGAAGAGGTCTTCCCTGGGTATGGGGGCATGGCTGCTGTCCCCAGGAAGGTCTTCGTGTGGCTCCAGGGCTCCATTCTGGGTGAGTGAGTCAGAAGGGGAGGGAGAAAGGAGGCCTTTGCTGACTGTGCCTACAGGCAGAGCCTCGGGTGGTTTGGGTTCCAGGTTGTCAGAGTTGCTGACAGATTCCTTGTGACAAGGACTACCACCATCTGGGACACATGCATTCGAGAAGGCAAAAGAAGCTGAGGTTGTTCCCATTTCCTGAGTGTCTGGAATGTGGAGTTCAGACAAGTCCAGCTCCTTGTTCCCTCTGACGTGGCGGAGACCAAGACCCTGGTCCCTGGCAGCGGCATGCAATCCTGCAGGCTGGATGCTCTCCAGATCTCGGTCAGAGAAGTGTCCATTCTCTCCCCTGCCATTTGGCCAAGCTGTGTCAGGGGACCTGGACTCAGGGCCGGTTGCCCACGTCCAGGCCATGGCTTCCTCATGCCTACTGGAGTCTTCTTTCAGGGAAGGTGGGCTCCAACACTTTGGAGGATGTTGGGCAGAGTGCTCCTGGAGTCTGGCTGGAGATGTGGGAGAGCTGGAGAACAAGGGACATGTGAGGGACACAGCTGCTGAGTGCAGGGCAAGTGTCCCTCCCCAGGGAGACTAAAGCACCGCCATCGGTGACCTGTGGGTGATGGAGGCCGCAGAGCCTAAGAGGCCAAACAACCGGTATAAAAATAAGGCGATACCTGGCTCTCGGGGCTTCACACGGTGATCCAGGATCACCTACTGGAAACGGCAGGCAACACTGAGTAAGTCACCCACACTTGGAGGTCTACTGAGTCAGCCCTGTACTGAGTACCACATATACACTCTTTCCAACTTTCACCATGAGTCCATGAAGTAGATATTACCAGGTCCATTTTATTAAAATTAAGGCTCAGGTAGTGAATGGACTTGCCCAAGGTCATACAGCTGGTAAGCAACAGATCTGGGTTTTGAAACCCACACTCATGTCACTATACCAGCTGCCTCTTATCTCTACATTGAAGTTCCAGAAGCCCCTTTCAGGGCAGAGCATGGAGAAGATGGAGTTAAGGATGGGGTGTTCCAGGGGATTGCGTGGATAAACCCATGCGAGGGACTCCCTAAAGCATGGTTTCAGGTGAACCCCGGAGCTCCCTTACCTGGTCATATGCTCCCGTGGGAACTCATGGAGACTGGCAGCTTCCTCTTCCGTCACGAAAACGGGCATGATGTGGACATTCGGGGGCAGGATGGCACCTAGAATCACAAAGCAACATGGACAGGACCCTCCCCTGGACCAGAGGAGAGAGAAGGGCAGTGACTCTTCCTGGGGTGATGCATGGACCCCACGGGCCAGCTCAGAGAACAGAGCTGCGGTGCCCTCCTCAGCCCAGACAGAAGCATAGAGCTGCAGCCACGATGTCTGTGATTAGCAGGGAAGAGCCCACGGGGGCACCTTTACTCCCAGCTGTGGTGAAGGGTGGTATTTGGTGGAAGAAAATTTAGTGGCGCTTAAAAACAAGATGCAAACTGGGGAAAAAGCAGCTCTAACTGACAAAAGGGATGTGCCCCAACTTATGCTTCAAAATAAAACAAAAGAACCCTCTTGGGGGCACATTCACATCCTGCACAAGGTCTTTCCGCACTTGCCATGTGTCTTACCCTCCTAATCAGGATCCCCTGGAACTTGTTTGAGCCGTCTCATTATAGAGACTTAAGGGGGATCTGAAAACGGGGATTTATAAGGCGTGCTAATGCAATGTAATACACAGATAAGTTACTGTAGAATTGTACTGTATTAACCAATGGTTAACATTATTGACAAATGTCACCCAATTAATTTTTAAAAAGCTGTGCCTAAAATTAGTTTTATTTACAATAGGATTCTGATGGCTAACTCTGTACTTAGAGCTCTGTTCCATCTATTGCCCTAATCTTCCAAGCAGATGAAACCACCGCATAGGACGACTTTCACAGGACGTGTAGAGACGGGCAGCACTCTCAAAACGGGACAATGCCTGTCACTACTTACCACGCTCCTGCAGGGCATCCCCTCCTGTAGGTAGTCTCTGAAATAAACACACACAAGTTGGCGCTGGGTACCACACTCTCCTCCTGACCTAACCATCAGGACTGCCCATGGCCATCTGTTCATAAAATAAGATTGTCCCAGAACGCTTGTCCCCTCCACATGCCAATAGCGAAGCAGATGGAAGAGAGGCTCCCCCTAGCTGCCTGCTCAACCCCATAGAGCCTCGCGATCGTTCTAAACGTCCACTGATTGATTAAGTGCAAAGAACTAGCCCTATGATACATTTAAACCTATGACCTCATACGCTAAGGATAAACGAGTAAAACAAAAAAGGAAAGGACTGGAGGAAGTATGCCTGATGCTAACAGTGAGCATCTCTGCACAGTGCAACTGTGGGAAATTTTATTCTCAATGAGCATGTGTGCTGGTGTTTTTCATTACAAAAGCAATTAAATAGATATACAATGGAAGTATTTAAAAATAGTTTCTGATTTCCAAAGTGATTCTTTAGCATCTCTAAAAATCCAACATCTCTTTGACATAAAGCCTATCGTTAAGGAAAGTCAAATTCTCATAGTTCCACTTGGATTGAAGGAAAACCAACTATCCAAGTCGACCACACAAAAAGGAACCTTTTCTTTTAGCCTTGCTGGTGAATTCACTCTTGAGGAAAATACCACCGACAGGCCCAGGGTCCTGACAAAATGAAGGGAGATGACAGCCCCACAGCCACCTCCATCCACCCACCACAGGGATCGGCCTCGCCAGGGGCCACCTGGTGCAGAAGCATCCCAGCCAGGTGAGAGGACTGTATTATACCTGGCCCCGAGGTGCAGCTGGACGAAGCAGGACCTTGGCCGTGAGGGAGGGTGGCAACTGCGTGCTAACAATCCTAGGAGGTCAGACACAGGAACAAGGACAGCGTGAGAAGAAATAAGGTTCCTAACACCCCATGTTGGACAGGATCTTGGGGACACAGTTGGTGAAAAGGTGTCAAGTGGTAAAGCCCTTATGGAGGACACTCTGATAATTTCTATCAAAATTTTTAAATTGTACCAAGAAGTATGCAGAAGAATTTTCATTACAGAGAAAAACAATAAAATCGTGTAAAAAAATGGGTAAATAATTTAAACTTCTATCAAAAAGAGAATAGCTAATCATTTAACTATTCATGAAGAGTTAAATTAATAGTTAAATCAACCAATAAATGTGCAGCTACTATAAGGTGGACCAAGAGGGGTTGAGAAAGAAATCTCCACTCTGTACATTAAGTTGAGGAACCATATGATCCCATTTACAAGGAGAACAAAAATAAAATCAACAACGTGTATGTGCAGACGTGTGAAAACACAAAGAACAAAGGAAGGATGCTCGCCAAATGCTAACTGCCGGATAGGCGGAGTAAGGGAGAGTGGACAGGAACTTCTAACTGTGCTGTGTGTTTCTCTCTAGGTTCATTTTTTTACAACGAGAATGTGTTCATGCATTCAGTGTGTAATTTAAAAATGATAAAGAAATACAAAATATGGAAAGGAAAAAAATTCCATCTCTGACGGCCATGTCACTGGTGAGCCTGGAGGCACCATGGGCTGACTCAGAACCATCAGAATGAAAAAAAGGGGAAATGGATCCACTGGGAACCAGGGACTATGCTTGATCCTTCGAAGTCTGTCACATGATCTCATTCTCTACAAAGTGCCTCTATTTCCAAGAAGAGAAACAGAGATGGAGCAAGTTGTTCAAGGTCACACGGCTGGGAGAGAGAAGCCAGGGCTGGGAACACAGCCTACAAGACCCCTGAGACCCCAGGAGCCTGGGGAGTTATTCTAGTTGCACATCCCTCTGGCCGTCAGAAATCTCAGGGCACTGTGCTCAGACCCTGCCTGCCCCTGGGCTGTAAGGGCCAATCTTCCATGAGAAGAGAGACCTTGGAAGATGCATGGAGGGCCTCTTAGGCACTCAGGCTCATGGAGAGGCCCTCCAAGTATGTGAAGAGGCATAGAGAGATCTCAGAGGCCATCCAATAGACAATCTAGCCAAGAGGCTGGCAGGAGCTGAGGAGCAGCACTACTGATGCTTTGCAGAGCAGAGCTGGAGCGGCAGGAGGAAGGGCACAGCAGGCTTCCACACCCCCTCACTTATGCCGCTGCTGGGGACCTTGGGGCTTTGCATGTGCGTTACATAGACTGGCAACTACAAAGGCATGCCCCATCCTGAGAATTAGAAGGATCTCTTTAAAATTGCCTATTCTCAGGGATACATGGAACAGACATCAAAGGGGAGGAGGGAAGGGGGAATGCATGAAAGAAGGTGAAGGGATTAGCCAAAAACATATTTACGCACAGACACAGAAACAGTGTGGTGATAGCCAGAAGGAAATGGGGGTGAGGGGTAGGTGGAGATGGGCAAAGTTGGGGGAAATGGAGACAGAAAGAGACTTTTCTTGAGGCAGTGGGTACACAATGCAGTGTGCAGATGATGTTTTGTTGAGTTGTACACTTGAAACCTGGATGGTTTTGTGAACCAGTGTCACCCCAATAATTTCAGTAAGTAAATATCTGGTTTTCCTATTCCTATTTTCTGGACACAAGAGTTTCCAATTTCCAGCTTTGCTCAAAAACAAGTACATATTTTAAATCAAATCTAAACTACCTGGTATTTGCCAAACCAGTTCACTTAGAACTGGCCCAAAAAAGAGCTCCTGCCTATGATCTGGAAGTGGCCATGACTGGGATGGCCAAGTCTGTGGCAGGGGAAGGGGGTGAAGGAGAGAGCTCTGGTGTTACTCACTGGCCTTTATAGAGGATGCAGCCAGCTAGAATGTGAGGAGAGCGCTGGCAGGTCTGCAGGATGAGGGCTGCCTTCAGCAAGAGCAGGGGTTCCACCTGTGCAGGGCAAGACGCATGCCCACAAGTTAACATGCTGACAATCAGCGAGGAAGGGAAGGGAAGGGGAGATTGTGGAACGAGTGACAGGTCATAACCCGGAGCCTGGAGAAAGGAGACTGTGTCACGTGGTATAATCGTGTCCTCTCTGTACGCAGAACTCCTGACACCAAAGAATGCCCAATTCTTGGAACAGGGGACAGGTAGACTAGCCAGGAGACCCTATCAATGCTAAGACAAGCAAGCAGTGAGAGAGGAGGCCTACAGGTCTCAAATGCAGGTCATGGTGCCAGCTGAAAGCCTCCCCCACAGCCCTCACTGCCCTGCCCCCAAAGCACAAGCCCCAAGGTGACACAGCTAACTTGATGTCTGATCTGGGCCCATAACTCTGTTCCATGACATAGAGTGAAAACCTCATGGGTTTGAGTGAAAACCTCATGGACTTTCACTCAGGATACACCTCAGTTCCACCTGCCTTGTAAGGAGTCTGTTGCCGAAAGTCCCTAAAACTACCTGACAATGAGGATGTGATGTTCACCAAGATCAAGGCCACAGAGCAACAGGCAGCCAGGCAGTCAGGCCGGCCACACAAGCAGCCTATGCGTCTCTGGATGCCAATGGCAAATGGAGTGGCTCAGAGGCAAAACACTTCCCAGCCACTCCCTCCCAGAGACAGTGACCTTGTTTGCACAATGTTAGCACTGGGTACTTTTAATGTTAAGAATAATTAAATCATATATTAATATCAAGCGAGAAGGGGACTTTCCGATTACCAAGTTCAACATTTCTTGCATTAGCAGGATAACAATAATACCCTTATTGAGTATTTACTTTGTGTCATTTAGTATTGTCTCATTTCATCATCAAAACAGTTCCGGGAGGCAGGTATTATGACCCCATTTTATGGATGAGAAGAGTCAGGCTCTGAGAAACCACCTGACTTATCTCAGCTCACAAAGCTAGTGAGCAGCAGCATGGAATGTGAGTGCAGGTCTTAACCACCTTGACTGACACATCCCAGTCACCTCTTGATATACAGGTCATTTAAAGGGGAAAAGACAAGTGTCCAGAAGCTCAATTCCCATACATGAAACAAGAAAGGGGGAGGAGAATGTTACTTTCGTCCGGTCCAAGTTCCAGAGGGAAGTGAAGATCTTATGCAGGTCGCTGGTGTTTTTCAGAATTTGTTCAATGAAGGTGTCCCATTCGGCGCTCAGTTCTTCCTGAGAACAGCTCTAAAAGAGAGACAGCCTGAGATCAGAGCTGAGATTCTGAGACACACTCTTCCGCACACAGGGAGCTGGCAGAAGGGAGGGTGAACTTTCTATAAAGCTCCTACCCTGACAACCTCCCCACCACAGACTCAGTGCACCTGCTGGGGGAGGGTGGCAACTAGGCCCTGCTCTTTCCAGCTGTCCCCGGGAGGAGGAGATGGAGATAAGAATGTGGAATGAAATGCGACCTACGCCACTGGGGAACAAGACATCTGAGACGGACTCTAGGAGTCCTTGACCTTGTCGCTGGACACGGTGTGCTTAGGTAGAATACACAGACCCTAGAGTAAGTGCTGTGTTCTGGCAATATCGATTTTGCTCAAGAGGCCCCACACTGACTCCTCAACGCTCTCCTCATACCTCGTAAGCTAGAGAAACAGGTCCATTGTAAAAATTAAACAATCCAATTAGCTGTTCCAGAAACTGCTGGCAGCTGCTATCAGGGAGCTCCACAGCACAGCCCAGCACCTGTAAAGAGGGAAACCAGGAACACAGGCATTTTCCTGTATTGAGTCCAAGCCCCGAATCCTGGCATCCAGGGCTCACTACAGCCAGACTGCATAGCTCACTGACACTGATCTACTGCCCAGCCCCACACCCTCCACTCCAGCCAAGCTGGTCTCCCAGAGAGCAATGTGCTCATATGGCCCAACCTGAAGGGCCCGCCTCCTTCCTGCTCATTTGCCCAGGCGCCCCACCCCCCACCCCCTTCAGTGCCCATCATAGGTTCTGGCACCTCCAGGATGCTTGTTCTGATCACTCTAGCCCACACTGACCTCTTTTGGGACCCCTAATAGTGTTAGGCCTGTTATCTGGACACTGAATGTCTAATATGTGTTTCACTGCGAGCACTGGGCTCAAACCGTTTCATGAACAGCCACGTCATCTCCCAAGCTGGACAAAGTGCTTTGAGGACAGAAACTGACTGAATCATCCTGAGTCCTAGAGCTCCAGAATGCTGAGTGTGGTGTTTAGTTCCATGAGGATAAACACTGGCTCAGTTAGAACACAATCTAGCCATATGTTCAAAGAGCCTGACAGAAGTTCATATTCTTTGACTCAGTAATTCTACCTCTAGGAATCTCTCCTATGGGAATCATCAGAATCTTAAATAAACGAACAAACCCTGACCATAATAAAATGATAGAAATAATGCCAACAAAGCTGAATATTCTTCCTTACACTTAAACATCCCTCAGCTCAGGAATTCTTTAAAATTAATGCAGGCATGGGAAAATAGCACTTTAGCGTATATGGTACCACTAGCTATAAAGAAGTGGTTTTTCTTTTTTTTTTTAATGGGTCTTTGAAACCTGATATACATGCATCAATGTCTTAAGAGTGTCTGGGTCACTTACCCAGGAAGTGTGGAAGTATAAAGACTATAAAGAAGAAAAAATGGAATTAAAAACTCAATTTGCATCACAGAATAAAGAGAATTTCTGTAGGTTGGCTTCAGTCATTCAAAGGAGAGGAGGAACCATGGTGCATGAGCAATGCTGGATATGTCAAAAGTGTCTGGAGCACTCAGTTCTGATGGGCACCTGCAGGTTGACAAGAAGTGTGGACGATCCCAGACACAGGACACGGAGGGA